CGTTCCCCAACATCCATATGCGGGGTCTTCTTCTGTGGGGCGTTATCTCTGGCGAGGTTCCCTGTCCGCCCAGCCCTGTTGCTCCGGTGGCCCCTATTCCACCGGTACCGCCGGTGCTTGCTGCTGATGCTTCTCAGGCTGATTGGGATGTAGCCAAGGCTCTTGATGATGATGCAGTTGATGCTTATGATTAGCAGGTATCCGCATATTCTGATGCTCTTTCTGTCTACCGGATGATCTGTCTGCTTACACTCAGTGGTGCAATAATGATGCTCGAGCTGCTGCTGTTCTTACTGTGAGTGTCCTACCTCAGTTTGCTTCGGAGTTCATGGGCCTCGACACTGTTGCAGCTGTGTGGTCCTATCTTTGTCAGCGCTATCAACCATCTGGCGATGCTCTATACCCCTCTATGGTGCGTCAGGAGCATGCTCTTCAGCAGGGTGACTCGTTTGTTGATGAGTTCTATTCATAGTGCTCTGTCATCTGGCGTCAGCTTGACTCACTGCGGACAGTTGTTTGTGGCACTTGCCGTTGTTGATAGGCTACGAGGTCTGACTTGGAGTTTCAGAGGGTCCATGAGTTCTTATCTCGTCTCTGCTCTGAGTTTGAGCCTCGCCGTGCTCACTTGCTTGCTCATGGTCGTGTTCCTATCTCACAGATACTTGCCGAGCTTCGTGCCGTGGAGACTCATCTTCGCTCTGCTGGCTTGCTTCTGGTTCCGTCAGTATTGGCTGTCCGGGCACCAATGTCGTCTGCTCGCCTCACTGCTCCGCCGCTAAATGCTGAGAAGGACACGTCGCACCGTGACACAGCCTGTGGTTACTGCTCCCGGCCAGGTCACCCAGAGCCTGATTGTCGCTAGAAGAAGCGAGACCAGAGGTGCTCCAGCGGGCCTCCTGTGTCTTCCTCGACTCCGTCACTCACTGACCAGGACATTGTTCACCTCAAGCGTCTTCTTGCTTCCTCAGGCTCCTCGTCGACTGGCTCTGCTGCTACTGTGACTGCATCCTCCTCCTCACCATCACAGGCATCCACACAGTCAGGTACATCTTCGTGGGTTCTGGACTCTAGAGCCTCCTTTCATATGTCTTCTGATTCTTCCGTGTTGTCTTCTCTCCAACCTCTTGATTCGCCTATTAATGTTCTTACTACCGATGGCACATCTCTTCCTGTTGCTAGTCGTGGTATTCTTTCCACTCCTTCTTTTTTTGTTCCGAGTGTTTCACATGTTCCTCGCCTTACCATGAACCTTTTTTCCGCTGCCCAACTTACTCATTCTGGTTGTCGTGTCATTCTTGATACCGACTCTTGCTCCATTCAGGATCGTTGCACCAAGGCTTTGGTTGGTGCTGGCCCCCGGCGCCGTGAGTCAGAGGGCCTTTGGGAGGTTGACTCGCTTTGTGTTCCTTCCGCTGCCACCACTTCTGCCAGCTCTCATGCTCTTGCTGCCTCTTCGTCTGCATCCTTCCAGCAGTGGCATCATCGACTTGGTCACATCTGTGGCTCTTGCTTGTCTTCCTTAGTTCGTCAAGGCCTCTTAGGGTCTGTATCTGGAGATGTCTCCTTACATTGTAATGGTTGCAGACTTGGCAAACAGACTCAGTTACCTTATCCTACTAGTGAGTCTGTATCTCAGCGTCCTTTTGACTTAGTTCATTCTGATGTCTGGGGTCCTGCTCCCTTTGATTCGAAAGGTGGTCATCGCTACTATGTTTTGTTTATTGACGATTTCTCTCGCTACACTTGGCTCTACTTCATGAAATCTCGTAGCGAGGTTCTTTCTATATACAAACGTTTTGCTGCCATGGTTCACACCCAGTTTGCCACGCCCATTCATACTTTTCGCGCTGACTCCGCTGGAGAGTATATCTCTCAGCTGTTGCGTGGTTTTCTTGCGGAACAAGGTACTCTTGCCCAGTTCTCCTGTCCTCGTGCTCATGCTCAGAATGGCATTGCCGAGCGAAAGCATCGTCATTTGCTTGAGACGGCTCGTGCACTGATGATTGCGGCTTCCCTTCCACCCCACTTTTGGGCTGAGGCTGTTTCCGTCCACCTATCTCATTAACATTCAGTCATCGACTGCTCTGCAGGGTGGCATCCCTATGGAGTGTCTCATTGGTCGCTCTCCTGACTACTCTGCTCTTCGTATGTTTGGATGCACCAAACTGACTGCTCAGTCGGTTGAGTGTGTTTTCCTTGGCTACAGTGATGAGCACAAGGGCTATCGATGTTGGGATCCTGTGGGTCGTCGCTTGCGCATCTCGCGTGATGTGACCTTTGACGAGTCTCGTTCTTACTACCCACGTTCTTCTTCCTCGAGTTTCTCTATGGACGACCTTTCGTTCCTTCTCCTCCCCGATACACCCTGCTATGTTCCTCATGTGTCACCTCTTCCTCCGGCACCTCTCATTCCCTCTCATTCACCACCCGCCTCGTCTTCTCCATCCTCCTCCTCCACATCTCCCCCATCCTCTCCAGTCCATCGCCCTCTCTCACCGTTTCCTCTCCACTATACTCGACGATTCGTACTGAGGATGTCTCCTCTAACGATCCCTCCACCTCTGGTGCACCTCCTCTCACACCTCCCCCGGTTCATAACCTCCATGCTCGGCCTCGCCCTCCACCTGATCGCTACTCCCCTGATCGGTACGGTCTCTCTGTTTTGACTGAGCCCACTTCCTATCGCACTGCCATGACTCAGCCTGAATGGCAGCTTGCGATGGCCGAGGAGCTTGCTACTCTTGAGCGCTCTAGCACATGGGATCTGGTTCCCCTCCCTTTAGGTGTCCGTCCCATCACCTGCAAGTGGGTCTACAAGCTTAAGACTCGCTCTGATGGTTCTCTTGAGCGCTACAAAGCTCGTCTTGTGGCCCGTGGCTTTCAGCAGGAGCAGGGGCGCGATTATGATGAGACATTCGCTCCTATGGCCCACATGACCATTGTCCGCACTCTTCTTCCTGTGGCTTCTGTTTGTCAGTGGTCTATCTCTCAACTTGATGTCCAGAACGCTTTTCTCAATGGCGAGTTGCGTGAGGAGGTTTATATGCAGCCACCACAGGTGTACTATGCTCCCGATGGTATGGTCTATAGACTTCGCCGCTCCCTCTATGGTCTCAAACAGGCCCCTCGCGCCTGGTTCGAGCGCTTCGCATCTATGGTGACCGCCGCTGGTTTCTTGCCCAGTGACCATGATCCCGCGTTGTTTGTTCACACGTCTCCTCGTGGTCGGACACTTCTCCTTCTCTGTGTTGATGACATGATCATCACTGGTGACGACACTGATTACATTGCCTTTGTTAAGGCTCGCCTTCGCGACCAGTTTCTCATGACTGATCTTGGTCCACTCCGCTACTTTCTTGGGATTGAGATCTCCTCGACCTCTGATGGCTTCTACATCTCCCAAGAAAAATATATTCAGGATCTTCTTGCTCGCGCTGCTCTCGGTGATGAGTGCACGGTTGTGACTCCTATGGAGCTCAACGTTCAGCTTCGTGCCACCGATGGTGACCCTCTTCCTAATCCCACTCGCTATCGTCATCTTGTTGGCAGTCTTGTCTATCTTGCTGTTACGCGTCCTGACATCTCCTATCCTGTCCACATCCCGAGTCAGTTTGTTTCAGCCCCCACCTCTGTCCACTATAGTCATCTCCTCCGTGTTCTACGATATCTTCGTGGCACGATCTCTCAACGTCTTTTCTTTCCCCGCTCCAGCTCTCCTGAGCTTCAGGCCTACTCTGATGCTACTTGGGCTAGTGATCCTTCTGATCGACGCTCGCTGTCTGCTTATTGTGTCTTTCTTGGTGGCTCTCTTATTGCCTGGAAGACAAAGAAACAGACTGCAGTTTCTCACTCGAGTACAGAGGCTGAGTTGCGAGCCATGGCGATGTTGACGGCTGAGGTGATCTGGTTACGGTGGTTACTTGAGGATTTTGGTGTGTCTGCTACTACCTCGACTCCCTTATTGTCAGACAGTATTGGTGCTATCAGTATTGCGCGTGACCCGGTGAAGCATGAGCTCACCAAGCACATCGGTGTGGATGCCCACTTTGTGCGTGCTGCTGTGCAGGATCAGACTCTTGCTCTTCACTATGTGCCCTCTGAGTTACAGTTGGCGGACTTCTTCACCAAGGCACAGACTCGTGCGCAGCACGGCTTTTTCCTCTCCAAACTCAGTGTTGTTGATCCATCATGAGTTTGAGGGGGGGTGTTAGATGTGTATAGTTCTCTTTTTCGGTATATCCCCATTGTATAAGGGGTTTTCTGCACTTTGACACACATGTATATGTAATGGCCTTTGGCCCTCAGGAAATACTAGTTGCCATTCATCCAACACAATCTTCTCCAGAATGGTATACTGTGGAAGAAAAACTTAGGAAATGGTCAACCAGGCCAGCGTGAATATGCACGAAATAAATGAACACCGCGTTTCTCCACAAGTTGTCTCACGTAGCTAAATGGTGCAAATAAGACTAGCAGAAATGAAAGTTAACCTCAACTGATTATCTCCCTGTGCTTGTTTGCGCGCCAAGTTGTTCACCTATCTGTTGATCTTGAAGACCTTCACAATTATACGAAGTTAAATCAAATTAAGGGCAAGAGAAATCTGAGATGCTAACATATGTTTGAAGAGATGGAAGATTATTAGGCAGTAAATCATACATGAGATTCTTTTGTATGCCCATGGCACAAAAGCTTCCTTCCCAAAAATTATTAACAACTCGTCACAGTTTTTCACTTTAAATAAGACAATGATTGTTGGACCCTTCAAGATCTCAAGAAATCCAAGAAGTAGCCAAAAGCAACTATTCTACGTAGAATGGCCACTGGTCAGAGAAGGCATTGAATGGCGAATTGACAGGAAACCTAACTTCTTCTTTTTTGGAAATTACAGGAACCATAAGTTGACTTGTGTACAGTAGACCTTGACTGCGGGTCTTCTTTCAGCTCCACCACATGTAGTTCCCATTTTTTTCATCATACACATCCCCCATAAGCCCGAGATGGGTGGCATGGCTAATCCCCACCTTGTTCATCATATCATCCTCCGCAAGCTCAGGATGAGTGTCATGGCAAATTCTCAGAGTGTTCACAGCACCATCCTCCACAAGCTATCTCTACTCCTCCTCATTTGCTCGCTCCTCGGGTACAATTGTGAATCTATGAGCAGGAAGGCTGAAAAGGCAGCACTTCTAAGCCTTGAGAAATACTGGGGCAAACAGACGAAAATCAAGTGGAGCTCCATCATGTACGCAGATCAATGTAATTGGGATGGAGTCATTTGTAATTTTGATGGCTTTGTTACAGGAATTTCAGTCGGAGGCTACAAGCTTGCCAAGTCAATTCCTTCAGAAATTTGCTCGTTCAAGAACCTTACAGACATTGACCTTTCACACAACAACATTCCAGGTTCTTTCCCTGTGGTTCTTTTCAGTTGCTCAAGCCTTGAACAACTGGACCTCTCTTACAATTCTTTTGTTGGTAGTCTTCCATTAAATATCCATTTACTGTCAAAATCGATTACCTACCTTAACCTTGAATCGAATAGTTTATCCGGTAGTATTCCAAGTTCAATCTACCAGCTTTCATCCTTAGAAGTTCTGAAACTATCTTTCAATCCCTTTGGTTCACACAGAATCGACCCACAGCTAGGAAATTTGACAAACCTAGAAGAATTGTCAATGAGTTCTATGAATATAGTTGGTGAAATTCCAGACACTATAACCAAGCTAACCCGACTTACAACCTTAGATTTGTCTTCTAACACATTGAATGGGACAATACCGACTGGGATTTGGAGCATGCAGAATCTAGAGTTCCTTGATCTACAGAGGAACTCTCTATCTGGTTGCATACTAGATGATCCCCATGAGCTCATGAATCTGTCCCAACTTAAAACCTTAGATTTGTCTTCTAACACACTGAATGGGACAATACCGACTGAGATTTGGAGCATGCAGAATCTAGAGTTCCTAAATCTACACAGGAACTCTCTATCTGGTTGCATACCAGATGATCCCCATGAGCTCATGAATCTGTCCCCACTTAAAACCTTAGATTTGTCTTCTAACACACTTAATGGGACAATACCTACTGTGATTTGGAGAATGCAGAATCTGAATCGCCTTGCTCTACACAATAACTATATATCCGGTCGCATACTGGATGATTTCTGTAAGCTTAAGTATCTGTCCCAACTTTTATTGAACGACAATCTTCTATCCGGCCCACTACCAGAAAACGTTACACAGTTACAATTAACCTCCATCTTCCTCGATTTCTCTAGTAACCAACTGACTGGCAAGATTCCATCTTCTTTCGAGTTGAGAAAATTTGAATGGAGCTTTCTTTCCAATCCCGGCTTATGTTCCTCCAACCACTTTGGAAACTTTCCTACGTGCACCAGATTGCACTTGAAGATGTTTGTAATAATTCTCCTGGTCTCTGGTTCAGCCATTCTCATATGCACAGGGCTGATTGGTTTAACTAAGATCAAGGCATTTTTCTCAATGGAAAAGGATGATGCCCCATCTCCACTGTGGAACCTGACAGCCTTCCAAGCTATTGATTATGACATTGAGGACATCCATTGCAACCTCATTGATGCAAACCTTGTTGGCAGCGGTGGCTCAGGAAATGTGTATAAGATCTGCCTTGACAACACAAACCGTGAGGTTATAGCTGTCAAGCAAATATGGACCAGTGGCAGACGGGAATATGATATGCTGGAAAAGCAGTTTCAAGCTGAAATTGAGATTCTTGGATCCATCCGACATGCCAATATCGTGAAGTTGCTTGGCTACATTTCAAGCTCCGAATCAAAGCTCCTCATATACGAATACATGGAAAACGGTAGCTTGTATGAATGGCTGCATCACAAAGATGACCCTACTAGTACAACTGGACGGTTGTTGAACTGGCCGACAAGGATGTCAATAGCAATCGATGCCGCAAGAGGACTGTGTTACATGCATGACGGTTGCTCTCCCCCTATAGCACACCGCGATGTGAAATCCAGCAACATCCTGCTGGATCCTCAGTTCAAAGCAAAGATTGCGGACTTTGGCCTAGCTCGTGCACTGCTTAAAGCCGGTGAGCCAGAGTTAGTCTCGGCAGTGGTTGGGTCCTTTGGATACATAGCTCCAGGCAAGAACTTGGTACTAACTTTGGTTATTTTGAACTCGGTAATATGACTGACAAGTGACCTTTCCTTCTCTAGAGTTTGGAAGCTCGAGAAAAATGAATGAGAAAGTTGATGTGTACAGCTTTGGGGTGGTTCTCCTGGAGCTGACAACAGGGAGGCGTGCGAATGGTGGCGGCGGGTACGAGAATTTGGCGCAATGGACGTGGAGGCAATTTAAGGATGAGGGCTTCCATTTGACAAATGTGATCGACCCAGACATAAGTGATCCAGCCTACCTACGCGAGGTACAACTGGTGCTCCAGCTAGGGCTAATTTGCACGGGCACGGATCCATCGTCAAGGCCGTCCATGAAGCAGGTTCTGCAGGTCCTGCAACGCTGAAAAACACTACACGATGCAGCTCGTAAGCCATCTGAACCAGAAGGTCGCCAAAAGGTTCGGAGACACGCCGCGGTGTTATTCTTACTAGATATAATTTGTCCAGTGAAATTGGAAGGGTGGCGACACACACAGTAGTTTTTATTACGAGCAAGAGAAGATTCTGCATATGTTTTTTTTTCTGAATGTGCAATATCAGCGTGTTGTGTGGCTGTTGATCCTGTTTACTTTGAGGTTCAGTTTAAGGTCAATGCCTAAACAGAGTATCTGATGATGCAGTCTTCCTATAAACCTCAGAGATCCTACACAAGTGCTGTAGATGCGAGATCCTGCTGACACAATATAAATCTTCAAAAAAGAGGTGCGCAGAGCAGCACTGCAGTTTCTTTCTTCTTAGCTGGTTCCTTACTTGCAACAATGTAAGAAGATCTGAAGATGTAAACCACTTTTGGAGGCTAGGCTTTGGTAGAGTATGAGCAAAAGAGATTATCTGGTACAATGTGTCCATGAAGTCAACATTCACAAGCCCAATGTATGCACACTCATTCGCAAATTAATTCTTCCATCTCAATTCATTCTCAATTTTGCTTTGCACACTCAGTCAGTCAGTACACATACGGTTCAATCAATCGGGCCGGCGTGACGAATGCAACAGACAAATAAACACTGCATTCTTCACACTATGCCCACCGATCATGTTTGCTCTGTTTCGTCAGGGGATGTAGTACATTGGGTTGGGGAGCTTGAAGGAGCGGGCGCTCATGGAGTAGCCCAGCAGGTCGCTCCACTGGTCACCCGAGTTGCCCAGGATCTTGTACCCCTCCGCCTCCATCTCCTTCCTCTTCTCCGACTTGTAGTCCGTCGCCGTTTTCTCCCGGTCGGCTGCTGCCCTGGACATCATCGAAGAAGGCAGGTTTCAGAATCCCATTATGCAGAAATGAGGAACACTAGATGGCAAAACACTACGGTGCTCTGGAAACAATTGGATGCCGGATCGCTCAATTGACCAAATTGGGATGATAAAGCGAGATTATTGGCTGTGAAATTCAGCACTAACTAAAACAATATTATTTCTCCCTTGTTTTCAGTACTAACTAAATTCATATCTGAAACGCAGACCTAGAACAGAGTGTTCAGTCCAACATACTAATGAACTACTGCCTATATGCAGGGGCATTCCTGCAGCACTGATTTTTTATGTATTTTTGTGACAAAGACTGCTGCATTTGGCAATTTGGGCATTCTAATTGATGTCTCAGCCAGTGATTATAAAGGGCACACACAAACCACTTCAATATTTGGAAGAGGACAACAGGCATAGCTGAATGAACTGCGTAAAAAAATCCCCACCAAGGCAGGGTGAAAGTGATGTGCAATGGTATAAACAGCAGAAGATGGACGGTGAAGGTGTGGGTGGGTACTACCTGAGTATGAGCTTGTCCCAGTCGTGGAAGCCCTGTCTCCTGAGGTTGTCGACGGTGACGGCCTGGTGGGCCTCGCTGCGGCCGGTGAGCAGGAAGGTCTTGAATCCCAGGTCGCGCACCTCCCTGTAGAGGCGGAGGCTGGAGGGGATCGCCGGCGCCTCCCCCGTCTCCACCCACCGGTCGAACTCCCGGTGGTCGAACAGCTCCAGCCTGCATAGCCGTTTCCAAAATCGAACATGTATCAATCTCAGTTGTCGAATCGAGCTTCCCGGCCCGCAATCTCGGGATGTAATATGCGTGGGTCGCCCACCCGTATCCGTGCTGCGCGTAGTAGGGGAGGTTGGAGAGCAGCGTCTCGTCGATGTCGAAGACCCAGGCGCCGGCGGTGGCTTCGTTTGTGCCGGTGGCGGCGGCGGCGGCGGCTGTGGCGCGGGCGTAGGCGGAGGCCTCCCTTGCGACGAGGTCGAGGTCGGAGCGGTAGGCGGGGCCGGTGAGGTATGCGCGCACGTGCGGCACGCAGTCCTCCGGCACGGCCGCCCACGGCGCCAGGTTGTTGGCCTCCCCCGCCGTCCTCCAGCTCGCGCACCGCAGCTCCACATCCTCGGCCCGCTCCGTGGGCAGCTGGATGACCAGCGGGCGCGGCGGCTCCTCGGCCGACGCGTCGTGCGCCTCCACCGCGACGGCGACGGCGACGGCGAGGAGCGCGAGCAGAAACAGGGCGCCGCGGGGCGCCATGTCCACCGGCGCGCGCGCGCTCGCGGGGGCCGGG